ATCCCAAGTACTTGAGATGTACAGCAGTGCATTAATTAAAAAGAGCAAACAATGAGTCACTCGACTTGCCTGAAAGTGGGGATTGAGTAGTTTCTGTACCTTCATGAGGGTCCTTCTTTCCCAATGACAAACTGTCTTTCGTTTCAAGATTGTTGAGAAATGGGCACTGATATTTACTGTTCAACGTTGGCTTTCTTTTTGAAGTAATGTGAAACAAAATCAGGATGAAGCCTAGGCCTAATAAAGTGGCTCTGAAAGTATCAAGTTTGATATATTCCACCAAAGGGCTGCCTTGTTTTGCAGTTTGCAACTGACCAGACTGTCTATTTAGAACAAAGGGTGAAAAAAGCAAGTGAAGTCCAAGCCCACTGAAAGGTTCTGCAAACATCCTTGCCTCTTTGATACAGTCCATAAAATTCTTGCTATCACTATGCCTACAACACCAGAAGCACTCTTCGCAAATATTTGTCTGGTCATTCAGATAAAAACCTAATTTGCACTCACTACATATGGTATCAGATTTGATGGAGCAATTAGCAACAACGTCTTCGCCTATAGCACAACTTTTACAAGACTGCAAAATACCATGTTGATTGACAAATTTTTTCCCTAAAATTGGAAGTTCACACTTAGGTATTGCACCATCAGTTACAACACTTCCACATGGTTTGGTAAGACCAAATTCTTCTGAACAAAGAGGACAGGGTAAACAGATCTGTTCGCCATCATTCTTCACAACTGTAATCTCGTCATACCAGCACTTGGCCGAACAGGGTTTTTTCTTGTGATACCTGCATGCTTGAGCGCGAGGCATTCCTTGCTTGAGACACTGTGGAACAACTACATCCAAACCATCCAAGCAACATCCTGAGCAAGGAAGGCATTTGGACAAGGTTTGGTTTTGGTAGTACCCCTCTGGGCAAGGCTTGCATTTACAACGAGTGTCTGAGGTTTCTGTACAGGCTGTTACCATGATTTCATTTGGACCACAAGTTACACAGGGTTTACAGCTCTCAGGGGAGTAGGAATCAGAATAATAACCTGGGTTACAAGTCCGGCATTCAACAGAGGCACCGTACGGTATCTTGTTACCGCATGGAATGGTAACACCCATCCCGGGGGGGCATTTCAAGCAATCCAAACAAACGAAACCACCATTTCGGGTCTCTAATGCATTTTGATTATATTGGCACACGTGAACAGAATGCAATTTGCTGACCTGAAAATGAGAAGACGAAAATACATCAAAGCTTGCATGTACCTTCACTTCTTTAGTTTGTTGTAACAAATGAATTTCGTACAGTTGAAAAGAGATTACAATATATACCTTGTCTCAAAGTGAATCATACCAAAATTAGCGTTAACTACTTTGATATTTGGGTTTCGTGGGATCTCGAGCAGAGATATTCGTGAAATAAAGTATGGTTTCCTGAATAATTTGAATCTGACTGAAACTTTCCCACTTGTGTTGAGAACAAGTCAACGTTATCCCTTACGCGTTCCGACGCTGTTTAGTCATTAGAAAAAATATTCATCGACCTTACCAGGAGCGAGATGAAAACGGGTAGTCCCAAAAGATGAATTCCCATTTCCCTAACTTGGGTTGTGCGTAATAACGTCTTTAAAGTAAGAACTTAGACCCGGAAATAAACAGTTTCTGTTGAGCCGTGGTAAATCTACTTTCGTTTTCAAAAGGGGGTTTTACCGTCCTTTGTTTCAGTTGATTTTCACCCGACCAATGTCTTACAAGCAAATAAAATTACGACCAATCAAAACTGAGCCTCTCTGGCTTTATGTTAAGGAGTGACATTATGACATCAAAGTCTCGTACGGAAAAGCAAGTGAATGGTCGACGACACAAGAGGAAAAGAAAATGAATCCGGAAGGAAGACAGGATGATTCGGTAATTGTAGGCGTTCTAATCATTTATTTTGCTTTGAAATTCCCTAAGTGGAGTTCTCTTTTCAAACAGTGAAGAGTTTACAGTCACGAAAGCATCAATTACGTACAAACTCTCTGCAAAGCCGGTCAAGCCGGTTACGGAACAAACAAACTTTCACTGTCAGCATTTTTAAATTGTTTCGACGAAGAGAGTAACATTCCCTGAGCATCTATCATGTTTATAATCAACAATAAAGATGAAATGATAAAATAAGTTCCTTTCTTTTTAGACGAGTCATGGAGCCTCTGATGAAGCAAATGATTTCTCCGTTGAAGAAAATGAAGTCTACGAGGAAGAATCAACTGTGATAGGCGAAACCGAAAGTGCTTCCGACGTTTCAACTGAAACATTCTATTCCACGAGACGATCACAGAGCGACACCTTTGAGGATAGCATATCAAGACTGTCTTGTGTTTGCAACCGCGAAAATAACGCCGCTGATAGAAGTAATTATTGTGGAAAATACACAAATGCAAAATCTCTTCGGAGTGGGGAATGTTCTGACAGGGTTTCGGTGGAAGAACAAACCATCACATCTTCTGTTAATGGCCTTGAAGTACTTTATCTGACCCTTGCAAGAGGAATGGAATCGGTGCCACCAATCCAAGAGACATCTAGCGTTGTTCAAGTAGCATCCACAACAAACAGTGCAAATGTAGGCACACGCGCTGGTTGCTCCGTGTTCCGAGGCGGAAGCGTTCCAGTAGAAGGTAAGTAGCTTGTTCGCACCTTGTGTTCACCATAGGAAGTTTGAATGGAGAATATCCAAAAGAAAGTTTGTACTGGTTGTCACAATGATTCAAAATGTTTCAAATTTATCAATAACAGTGCTGAGTTTTAGTTTCATAATTCTCCTTGAATATCTCTTGTAATAAAATAATTAGATAATTTCTAGTATGGTAGTATATGTTGAAGTAAAAAAATTGAACTTTGTGGCCACCGGTTCCGTTTTGTTTAACGATAAATAAGCAAATTACGGTTGCTTTGAGAAGTGAATGTGATCGAAGACAGAAGTTTGAAAATCTTCTAAGTTAAGAGTTATGTCTACAGGCGACTTATGAGGGTATTCACAGTTGGCAACAATGCTTTTCTTTTTTTTTTGGCATTTGCAGTGTAATAGGTCAATCCGAACCTAGCAAAAAGTGCTAAAACTACTTTTCTTAAACTCCTCAATCGGACACTTTCAAGTTTCTATTTAAAATAATCAGGATCAACTAGTGCTGTTACTGTTAGAGTTGCAGTAATTGCTGTCAATGTTTTGTCATAGCGTTGACCATCTTTTCATCTGTTTTAATAAACGCACCGATTTTACCTTACTTTATCACTTCACATTTAGGTTTTACAGACTTGTCAGTGCTTTATCCATGCACACCTCAACAATTGACACTGTTTGTTCTAAAAAAGGATCATCAGCGATTAAATATAATGACCTTTTCAGTACACTGTGTGGAACAGTCAAGGCAGGTAAAGTAAAACTGTTATTGATATTCGAGCTTAGAACCAATCCTTCTTTTAAATCCAATAACAGATATAGTTAATTAGCGCGCCAACAAAAGAGATGGATGCATAGGTTTTTTTTTTTCGAAAAGAACGCCAGTCCGGCAAATTTAATTTTTTTGTATATACCACACAGATGAATAGTGCTCTTCACGCGCGCCGATTGATTGGTTCGGAAGCAGCTGTAGAGACAAATTCGCGCGTCAACAAATTAATTTTCGAACACTTTTTGGTATACTGACAGAAAAAGACTTTTTTCTTTTGGTTTCTGTATGGCGTATACTTAAGCAGTTATTTACCTCAGTGTTTGTGAAAGCGGTGGATATTGACCACTATTCACCTCCGCTCAAGTGAATGATTGTTAAATAGTCTTTGGCCTCGTTGTTTCAATGACAATTTGCAAGTAGCCACTTGACGTCCTGCACCTACAATCTAACTCGGGTTCCAGAAATTTCTAACCGTAATGCCAGCCTATTTTAAGACTTCAAAGTTAAAATCGAGAATTTTGGGGGGAAAACTTCTTGTTTTCTCCTCTAACATAGGCAAGAGCAAGTTTGATGGTAAAACAGCTAGAGCAACACCTACACACCCGTCTACAACTTGTTCCATGTGGTGATGAATACTCCTACCAAGAACAAAATAAACATTTCCATCCCCTGACCTTGGACAATGAAATAAAAATAAAGTTTGAGTTGCGGAAGAAAGTACAGAGAAAATTCCGACTTCAGGAGGAACAGGAAATTTTCCAGGTGTGTCAGATTATATGAAAACAACCAGGTGTTCCATTAAAAAAAACTTGGATCAACATCAGAATTTTGAACTGCATGGAATGACCTTTTTTCGTCTACCGACCAAGCATTCTTTTTTACTCACTTTACACAGGTTCCACTGGTTCGCATTATGTCCTTGAGCCAGAATAGAATTCCAAGTCCTATTGTTCAGGTGCATGTAGAGCCTCTATGTGCACCTGGGGAAGTTTGCGAGGACCATTTACGAATGACGCTGGATTACGGAAGAACCATTCAAAATATATTGATACCAATATGGGTAAATGCTATCAATTTCTTGTTATAATTATGTAATTAAAATTATTGCAGTTGACAACATTTCCTTGCTGACAGCAGCAAATTACTCTCAAGTACATGAAGAGTTATACTAGCCTTGTGATAATAAAATTCTGCCATGTTTTTGTTTGCGACCTCATTTTGGTTTGATCTATGCCCTGTTTTCGTCACTAAAGATAATGCCATACAAATAATATTCTAAGTTCTGATATAATACCTAATTCAAGTTTTATCAAATAGAATAAATGAAGATCATTACGTAAATTAAACATCACTCATCTCCATTTCTATACTTACTTTCAGTCTGCCAGACCACCTGAAACCAGTTAGAGGTTTTCTGCATCTGGTGAGTAAAACTGAGGATTTAGATGTGATCCATTTTAAATACATTACAAAAATACTTCAATTATAACCCTTCAACCACAGTTTTAACAGTGGCTCTTTTTTATATGTGCCTTTAGTTATGAGTCAGTGTTTCTTGATTTTTCCTTGTCCCTGTTACCTTCTACTCATTTCAACTGTTTTTTTTCTCTATTGACAAATAGGTGTAATTTGCTTGAACAGGCATTCGATGGGGTCATTGTCACTGATAACCATTAATACAGCAAATTATAAGTGGATGTAAAATCTGTTTTAGTTTGATTATAATTGCAAAGTATGTTTTTAAAAATCGAATTTCCAGATGGGATTTGAACCCACGACCCTCCGTGATCTAGTCGGATGCTCTAACCACTGAGCTACAGGAGACTCTATGGTGAGCAAGGGTCAATTAGTGGGTATTGACTGGAACCGCATCACGCGGCTACACAGCCAAACATCACTAGATCACGGAGGGTCGTGGGTTCAAATCCCATCTGGAAACTCGATTTTTAAAAATTGTTTATTTCATTTTAAAGTATGTTTTGATTTTTCATTTCTTCCCTTTAGTTATCATTGGAGGATTGATACTTGATCCGTTGTAAAGTTCATCAGTAAAAAGGTGCTACGTCACAGTTGATGTATCTTTAAAAATTACCCTTCAGTCAACTTCTAGAGAATAGAAATTATTTAAAAACAAAATCAGCTTTTAGAAGCCAACAGGCCACTATGAAAAGCCACTACATTCTACAAGCTAATTTTCTCCAGTCTTTCCTTGTAATCCCATTCAGTTTTGTTATATCTTTGAACTTTCTCATTCCTTTTTAGCTGACTTTTTCAATTTTGGTCTTGTTACATTTGACTGTTTTATAAACAATCAAAGCAATTTTGCTTATCACAGCAAAGAACTCAAAGTCAATGTGACATAGCACCTTTACAGTGGTCAAATGACAAAGGGTAGAATAAGGAATTCCATAACCACTCTTACAAGTGGTTTCTGATGAACTGCTGCAATGGCATTCAGGTTGCATTACGTATGCACATGAAACAATCAAAGAAGTAGATTGAAAACAAGGATTCATTAAGGACTTTTTAAAAAAATTCCTGCAGTGATTGTCAAGGCAAAATTGCTAAGCTACATGAAAGCTTGGCAATTGCTGAGACCAATCACCAAGTTTACAAAAGAGTTACTGGTGTTATAAAACCTAAATTTGCTTTTTTGAGAATTCCATGACTTGAATATGTGATATTACTCCCTTTGTAATGGACTAGATTTTATTAAAACCTAGAATTTATTAGCATGGAATTCTCAAAAGGGACCTAAAGGTGGCTGATAACAATTTATCACAGATCATTGAAAAAAATTGAATACAACACCATCACCCAAAATAGGATAAGTGACATAGACTGCAACATAAATGGTAAGCGCTGTTGTATCAAAGAAGTAGTCGCCATTATTTCAATCTATGACAAAACAGCTTACCCAAAACACATCACAATTTGTTGATATGGTGATTTAAGAAAACCTATAGAAAAGTCTTTCCGGACAGACCACAATGATTATCCCAAAATAAAAATGTACGTCTATCATGGACTGAGCAGTGGGTGGTGGTGTCATGAAATCTAATAATCAAAAGATCTGTGAATTGTTGCAGCCAACAAACAGCCTGGTGTAAACTAAGTAACATCATCACCACTAAAAGCAGTGACTATGTTGCTTGGACTACACAAGGCTTGGAGCTGTCAGCATGATAAGCCTTCATTTAAATGTGCAAGCTAGTTTAACTATTATATGATAATTGCTAAATAGATTTAATTACCACAATTATCTTGTAATCTCTTTCTTTGTTTGGTAGATACTTATCAAAATTGTTAAGTTTGGCTTTTCAGTCTGACAGCTGCATAAATACATGACATTCATCCATGACCTTAACAATATGAACAATTCTCTAAAGCCATTCTCTAAATTCATGTTTGGTCTGATTCTAAAAATTTGATTGTGTATGCATAATCAAACTAGGCTAGATTACAGTTCCTTGTAGTTGGCGCTACTAAGCCTAATAATTTTGCATAAGATTTGCAAATCCTGATTGCTGCAAAATTACCAACAAGTCAGGTTTTGTATTGGCTCTTAATGGATGTCATGGATTTGTGTCACTTGTACATAGTTTGTTCATAATGTACATCATAAGCATGGTTTACTCTCATACTCAGAAAACCAAGAACATCTGAAATATAATGTGCTATAACAAGTCAGATGCATTTCAGTTAGAGAGCAAGTGAAAACTAAAGATCCACATCTTAATTACTGTTCCACCTTATAATTAAGTTATCTTCTGCAATACAGCTAAAAATAATTTTAGTGTTCACTATTTTCTGAATATGGTAGTAAACCATTAGAGAGCCAAGTCTGAGCAAAACCAATTAACTGTAATAATTCTTTAGCTACACTTATTTGCTGACCTTTAAGACAATAATTATTGTGTCAAATGGGAATGTGATTTTATCTATTTTTTGGCTTGGTCATTGATAGGCATGTTAACTTTTTTAAACGACAATGTTTTTTTCAGATTGGCATGTAAGTTACATACCAGCTTATCATATTATATATCATATTTAGTGAGTGTTTGTTATTTACAAGTAAACAATAGACATGTTTTGATTATCCCTATCTTATGTCATCAAGAAAAAAAATTAAGTAATTAACACTTTTTTCCCTTCTTCAGACTTGGCTGTTGTATATAAAACTAATAAGAGGCATGGCAGGGTCACATGGGATTGCAAAATTTATCTTCTTATTTTAACGCTGTCTCTCATTTGTTTCTATTATCCACTCAAGAAAATACTAGTTTGTATTCCCAAGTGGCCAATATCCCACAGGTATTGATGACTCCGCTAACTGTGACAATGAGTTTAAAAAATCTGGGTGGTAGTACATGTCATTTCTCTGGCTTAGCTTTGTTCAGTAAAAAGAAAGCAAACACAAAAGAATATATAAACACATTTCATTTTTCAATATCATTTAGCAGTAACAGGAGAAATCCAAGAAGTTCATCAATATATGTGCGATGTTAATTTCCTTGTAAAAAAATTACTGTAAGGTTTTAGTATAGTAAATGAAGGGTATGCACACAATAGGAATGTATTGATAAACTCTGCTGTGAAAGTACCTGGCTCTTTCAATTTTTCTGCCCTTTTCAATACATGCAAACTAGAGAGTTGGATATAGATAACTGTATATTTATTTCATGTTGCCAACTATCATGATGCAGACTTCTCAGTAGACAGGTGTGCCATCATGCCACATGCAAAGGTACGTCATTTCCACAGAAAGGATGAGATAATGGATGGAATTCTTTAATTCTGGTCGATGATTGACAGCAGCATGAAATAAAATTGCAAGTTTTGTTCTGAGCCTTAAAGTTGGCATGTTATTGAAAAGTGCAGGAATCAAAACTACAAAATTTCCTCAAGCATGATTGGTTATCAGTCAGCCCCCACCTTGACAGGCTACGACCGATTGCAAGTTGTGTGTATTATGTTTATTCCATTTATTGTTATTAAATACTCAAACCTGTATAAATGTACCTTGACATTAGTGATAGTAAAAATTGTTGTTGCCAGCATGCTGAAGTGAAAGTGTCATGCTTACATTAGAGATAGTAAGAAGACACAACTTTTGTGTACAACCTGGACATGTATCATTTAGGCACACTGTTACTGTACATCGTCATCTATTCTCTCTCAAGTCAGGAGAGTACATTGTTATGATTTCAAACATGATGTACTTGTTTCTCACTTACAATGTAAGTTGCCCGATGACAGAACAAAATACAGTCACAACAGTACAATGTGTAAGCTAGTGTCTACCAATCTTCCCAGGTAAACAGCAATCAGAGCCATTGTGCAAAAAGTAGAAAAAAATTCAGGCATTGATAGGGATTGAAGACATGCCTCCCAAGTTATCACAGTGTACAGAGTTGCACAAAAACATCACAATATTACATATGATGCACGATCCTCGCAGTAGATAGCGCTATTTAAGCAATAGCAAAAATCAGACCTGAAAAAAATCAGGCCTGTACGGGATTTGAACCACTGACCTCTGCGATACTAGTGCAGCAGCGCTCTACCAATATATGAACTTCATATATTTCATTGTATCTGATCACAATATTAGTTCTCTAAACACTTCCACTCACATGTAATTGTATCTTGAGTTAAACTGCCAAAATTGCAGAGATTGTTCGAATTGATCAAGAGACAAGCTGGTCAGCAAAACTAAAACCTGCATGAACAGTAACAATTACAATACCACTGTAAACCTGAATACCTATTTGAGTGGAAAGTCACAATCCAAAAGCTTTCTTCTTAACAGGTTCTGCATTTTTACAGTCTCAATGTGACTCAGTGGTCTGTCACATGAGCTGTACACCATACGGTAATTGTAACTCACTTTGTCCTGTTCTGCATCATGATAGCGTTCAACAAACCAAACATCACAAACACTTCCTTGAGTGGTTTCATAAATATCCTGAAAGAACTGTTGTTCTGTCATTTGCTCTGTTATCCAGAAACTTATGTCATGAATGTATGATGGAGGCAAAAGACTGAATGGAACAAACGCTTTACCAAAGTTGAAAAATTCATCAACCTAAAGCAGTAGCGAAGGACACTTCTTCAAACTTGAGACAATCATGCATCACTCTACTAGCTTTGCTTGCAGCAATAGAATAAAATTGTTGTGTGAGAAATTCCTTTCCTACAAGTAACTAACATTGTAAATGGATATCAAAGGCAAGAAAAATGCTTCTAGAAAGATGAACTGCAAGAAACACAAGTCACCATGTACACAAAAGGCAAACTACAACTAAACAGGGCCAAACCCTTGAAACACGTCATCAACATTATGAACCACTTAAGGAGTCAAACATTGAACCCAATAGCAACATCATAGATATTTTAGCAAAAGCTAAAGCATCAGACTGTGGCAGAAGAGTACCATCAGCAACAGGTATAAATGACAAAGTATTCTCCTTGCATTTAGGTCCAGTTAAATTCCACATATGGTCAAACTCTACCTGACAAAATGACCTACAGCTGTACATGTATTCAATTAAGAGTTCCTAAGGGTAAGCCCAAAATAAACCATTATAATAATGTTCATTCTCAAAGAAAATATGTTGACTTTTCGATGAAAAACACCTTACTTCTGACCCCCTTTGAAAGTGAAATGAAGAGAAATGCCCAAATTGTTGATTGAATATAGTGTGAAAAGATCATGACAAAAGCCATCATTCATAACCATAACATTTCATATGCCAGTTTTTGGACACACAAAATGCAAATAGAACTATCACCTACACAAGCTCCACTTATATTTGAATATGCAGTACACAACATGTCTCCTAACCACAAGGAATTTGTGTAGAGTAATTAAATTTACACAATTTGCTACATGAATTGACAAGAACCCTCACCTCATGCCTTAAAATCTGTTCTTGAAACCTTGGATCTTTAGACCAAAGCAGTCTTATGTCAGGAATGTTACACAAAGCTAAAGTCAAGTTATCAATACTTACTTCCACCAGCCAACCACAACAAACTTTTGGAAACTTGCTGACATCTAAAATACCACAAGATACAAGCAGCATGTCTTTATGATATAGTTTAGTCATTGTCGAGGGTTGTATAAGGTTATTGATGCATAGTTGTGGAGAGTTATCATGCCCTAAATAGTGCTTTTCCATCCTGCAATAAATACACTTCTTTGGATCATCTTGGTTTCTACAATGACATCCAATGCCTGTGCCAGATGCACACCTGACATGTTGAAATCTTGTTTGTACCCCATTTTTTAACTGGCTTGTCTCTGACTCTGCTGAACTTGATTTAGTAAGGGAATTTTTCTGTGTCACACCTCGACAACCACTCTCCCTTTTTAAGTCTTTGACAGAAGAACAAATATCTTCAATAAACACTTCTAGCACACTGTTCACATCACTTTGAAGTTTTGAAGATGTTATAGGTTCTGTGAAAGTCTGCACTGCTACCATTTTGTGGCTGACAGGGTGTGTTTGAGACGATGGAGGGAGACAGAAATCAATTTCAGTGCCACTTAACACAAAGGAACAACATTCTTCTTGAAGCTTTGTGATGACTCTGGTTGTAAATGACATCTCAGAGTCTTTGAAAGCCATCCTTGTTGCTTTTTCTTTGACATTCAATTTCTTTGCCTCCTCACTTAAATTACTTACATCATCTGGTTGGCAGCAATCTTGTGCGGACCAAATAGTCATGTCAAAAATATTGTAACTTCCAAAGAATTTTCTGAGTTTATTGACCAAATTACAAACGGGATTGTTAAGAAAAGTGATGAGGCCATCCACAGCATAAAGACTGTCCAGAATGCTACTGTAATTTGAGATGAAAGACCTAGATGTAGGTAAATCAAAAGTATATCAATAAAATGTACAGATGAAAATTTATTTCCAAGACATTCTGAAGTCTAAATTTTTTTCAAATCAAGAGATTGGATAACTCTAGAACTATAACTGACACTATCAGATATGTGGATAGTTAAATAAACATTAGAGAGGAAAAAGGCACCAGTAAATGTACTGTATTTCACTTAAAGCTACAAAATCTAACTGACAATTAGAATTGTGTCTACAGTAGCATGTAACTTGCATTTATTGCTAAATGATTGAGTTTATTGATTGAGTTTATTGATTGAGCACAAATCAACCTTTGATTTGGCCGATAATAATGACACTCATAAACAAAGCTGTAGTTAAAGAATGACCTCTTCAGTGAGGTAATAAGATGCATAGATTGGTAATAGTATTATGACTGAGCTTACTGCAGGTCTGGAATTGGTTCCAGGGGCACTCCATGGACAAACACATGAGTGAGCCCATTTATGGTATGAAAACCTTTGCCAAGCTGTCCACGAAAGCCTGCACTTCTGTAAGCAGTATACTCTTCACTTTTGAATGGATACACAGCATTTAAAATAAGACCTGACCATGAATAAACAAAATAATACAGATTAAATTGTAGATACATGCATTGGAAAAATCACTGGTTTGAGGCATTAGCACAGGATCAAAAGGTCTTGGCGTATGCAGTTTCCAGTGTTGATGGTAACTGCATAATGTAGGGCAACCAACTTGAACAGTTATGGTGCCTCTCCCACTCATATGGGAAAACTGTCCAGGAAAACTGAAAAAGTGTTGAAGAACCTGTGAACCACTACCTTCCCAACCAGGATTACAATTGTGTCTTCCAGCTTTGTGATAGAGAAAATTTCGATTTGCAAGACGAAGTAACTTTGCTGGAGGAGAAAGCCTGCCGAACAATCGCTTCAGATCGGCAACAGATGCCTTTCACCAGCTGGTTAAGCCCCAGTTGGTCGAAAAGAACAATTTAACAAAAAACATCAACCTAAAAAATACCAACCAGCCTTTGCAGCTCGGCAAACAACCTGCCACGAGTTTCCAAGCTCTCTTCTTGGATTATCTAAGGGTGTTCCCCCCTGTCCCTGACAGAGGCTTACACAGATATCTCCTTCGAACCGTTCCACGTGGTGCGCTGCGCTTGCAAAGAACCGCTCCAACAGATCTCTCGATTTGGCGATGTTTGATTTTCCGCCGGTGTGCGGAAAATTAAAGATCACCCGATCAAACTTTCTAGAACCAAATTTCCGACGAAGATCTGTTGCATCTACCTCATGTAAGATCTCGATGTTTTCAAACGCGGACAGTTTCTCGATGTTTTCCAGTGCGAACTCGTTACTCGCCAAGGCTGTGCGCGAGTCGAACGATGTCGCAACGATTTTAACAGATGTCTTTGATAACGCTGACGCTAAACAAACCGTGAATGAAAAGTTACCATCTCCGACGACTAGCACACTATCAGTATACGATTTTGGGTCAAGTAACGCCATGGCAGTTAATAAATCGGAACTAAAACACGTTGAAATCTGAAGTTGAAATGTACGTTATCTTCTGCGCCATCGAAGTTGGTTCACCAACAATGTGGTTTAAGACTCACCAAATTAGACCCAGCCTGATATTAGTACCCAGCGCTTTCACTGTCATTATTGCCTACAGTGGTGCCTTCATGGGCGGTTGTTTTGGAAGCACAATCTCTCTTGTCGCAAGGAAACACTCGAACTCTGCTGAGGTTGTCAAATTTCGATTTGTTATGTCAGCAAGGCGAAGCACCTATGCTGGAGGAGAAAGCCAGCCGAACGATCGTTTCAGATCGGTAACGGATGCCTCTCACATCAAAGCGCCAAAGAGACAATGTAGTTGCCTAGAGCTTGTTCGAGAAACCATTCCTGCTCTGGCGAATTCTTCTCACAAAGGGCAGCTGGGTAGAATAGGGATCATAGGCGGATGTCAGGAGTAAGTAGTTCGATGAAGATAATCATAAGATAACTGATTATGCGTCATCCTTCGTGAACCTACCCCAGATTAAAATCCTGTCCTATGTTGTTGAAGGATCTAATCTTCCCTCACGAGCCGGCTTTGCTGCCCGAGGGGGCAACTGAAGGAAATTTTCAACCCAGGGTGTGCTCCTGGGGCCTTCAAACACCGGCTCTGTTGAAGAAAAATACGGTTCATTTTCATATCAGATTTAAGTCCTTTGGTGACCCCGGTCAATTTTGTGTTTCACATATATGCCCACCCTGTTTTCTTGTGAAGAGAGGGTAACAAAGTGGGGGGAGGGGGGTGGGGGGTCATGATCTCGTTTCACGCGAGAATTTAGAAAAAGTCACGTGTCATGTGTACTTTAAACAGTATTTAAAGCATGATCAGGAATTTTAAAGGGAAGACTTCAAATCCCACCATATCATGCCTTTTTGTAAAGTTTACAAATAAATTATGGGCTTAATCGTGCATCATATATAAACCATTCCCCACCCTCCTCAAACACCATAACCCACAAGGCAGCACATACCCAACTGGACTAATATCTGAGGGCTTCCTAGTTTACTAATTGTATTAGTTCTTTGAAAAATAGCATCTCATTCCTATAAGTTCTCACTCCAGATAAAGGTGGCATCTCTGATCCATGGAATTCTTTTGTAGTTACTTATTCACCTTTTAAACCCTAAGAGTGATCAGCATCTGACTTCTCCTTACATAAGTCATGCTGAGTTATTCATTAAGATCGCGAGAATACAGGAAATAATTGCTAGCCTAAGAAGCTTTAATTAATAAATATTCTTCTTGTCAATACCATTAATATTTAAAAGTTACATTTTGTCTTATGATCATTTTGCAGGTATACAGGTGCACCTTATTTTGCAGCGATATCAGCTTTGAAAGCTGTGAGTCTCAATTTTGAAGTTCTTAACTTTTCATCAATACAAATTTAAAAGACCATGAAAGGCTTGTTCAAGATAAATTCTGCAAACTCCTTGTCAACAGTCTTATAATTTGGAGAAATCCAAGACGTTGAAAAGCCAGAAGGACATCTGAAATAGACAAATGACACAAACAAATGGATAAAAATAAAACAAATTATGATAAACTTGAAAAGTCATGCCACTGCTTCGCAAGCTTACCGAAATCCAATCCAGTTAATTCTTGCCCTGTTTTGCCCATTTGTGACCTAATTTAGTTTGTTGGTGTTTCCTATATGTGTTAGTCTTCAGCATTAAACCACCATGATGAATACTATGATATTAAAGTTAATTACTACTTGGTTGGTTGCATTGCTCCTTGCTGAATTTGCTGCAAAGTTCATTGCTGAATTTGCTGCAAAGTTCATCGCTGATAATGCACAACTTCGCTCCTGTGAACATTATCAGGGGGTTTCCAAGGTGGGAGTTAAAGTTCATTGACCATGACTGTACTAGTTGACTAATATAAACCACTGAAATCATGAAAGAAATATGAGTGTACATCATCTGTCATTACCACACAAATCCGGTATTTTTCTATGATACTAAAAAAAATAACAAGCTTCCATTGATCATTTTGTAGGGTGCAGATTTGTCCCATGTGTTCTGCACAAGTGATGCAGCTGTGGTTATTAAATCATACAGCCCTGAACTTATTGTTCATCCTGTTCTGTGAGTATTGTCAATACTAATTTGACAAAGTAACCTCCACTCATGGCTCCCCCCTCCTGAACAGAACAATATATTGAATGATGTACTGCTTTTTAAGTGTTCAAAAGCTTCTTACCTTTTCCAACAAGCTAAAGTACTTCTACAGATGCAATTGAAAATTTGTCTCCCAGATCTTATAATTATTTTAACTCTTTAACTTCTATAAGTGACCAAGACAGACTTTCTCCTTACAATATCAAGCAGACAAGTGATCAAGTGATAAGAATGAAGGTACTCATTAGGAATTGTTAGTTGATCCAATTACCAAATTCTCCAAACTAACACCATAGAAATTGTATGGCAGAGCGTAGGGAGATTTACCAATGGGATCATGGGAGTGAAAGGGTGAACTGACTGTAGAATTTCTGTGTGTCAAATGACTACTTTTAGGGACAGAAAAACAGCTGTAAAAGAGGTCAAAGACTGGCTTCCAAGACTTCACTGCATTGTAGTTGGCCCAGGAATGGGTAGAAATCCAACCATCATTGAAAATGTCAAGGTAAGTCCATAACAAGTTTCCAAACCAGTAGCATTAGACAAACAGCAAGTTTTTGGAACAGTGGCATTCTATTTTGAGTTAATCGAGAAAGGTTATTCCATTTGCAAATATTTGACCAGTGTTAAAGCCCCATGGTCTGATAGAAATAAAGTAGGAGCTTTCTAAAGACAGTTTTTCAAAGCTCATTATGATTATTTTTAGTATTGAAAGAGTCCTTCTCTCAATTAAACTAATATAACTATTTTTTCCTATCTCTTTAAAGGGAGTTCTTGAACTTGCAAAGGAGCAGCAAAAACTTCTAGTCATAGATGCAGTTGAGTATACTTTCTCAATACAGCTGTGTGAAAAGCTCATCTATCACCAACCCTGGATCAGCATAATGTTTTGAAGATCTCCAAAGTACATCTAATTCTTATGTTTAGAGTAGAACCATATCAATTTTGTATTCATTTGTGGGTGCATTAGGATGGGCTTTACATGGTTACGTCCTACCCAGACATAATCAAGAATTATGCCAAAGCAATACTCACACCAAATGCTATGGAGTTTACAAGATTATACAACACGTTGGTGAGTTGATTTTTATTTTATAAGTTGGATATACCAACAAAGTTGAAATGGTAAATTGGCCACCGTAACGATTACAAAAGCTGACGTTTCGAGCGTTAGCCCTTCGTCGGAGTGGAATGTCAGCTGTTTTCGCTCTCAAGAAGCTAGAGTCACTCTCAGCTATCACCTCGTGTGACCCTTACACTTCTTTCGTGCTTAGCAACCTCCCGCTTGCATCCATAACTCAATAATGTACACTGTGGTGTTTACCATTTGTTAAATAAACAGGTCGGACCATCTCACAGTAATCTTGTGTGGGTTCTTTGCACGTAGTTGCCTTTCAATGTTTAGAGGGTTAATCGTTCATTGTGAGAAGTATTTTTGGACAGGTAGGGGGACTATCTTCCATTTGTATTTACATGTATTTACATCATTCTTGAAGTACTGATATTTTTCTTTTCCACTCCTTGATTTAATTTTTCTGATTGACTAGTTTGGTCGTGAACCTGACCCATCTATAGACTGTTCCAGTCATGTGACACAATTGTGCCGAGAGTTAGGTGGAGTTACCATATGTCGTAAAGGGCAAGAAGATATCATTGCTGATGGGAAAGATGGTAAGGTGTAGAACTTTTTGGTCCTCTGTTCATCATTCATTACAATTTTGCGTGGAAGGTTTGTTTAAAAGGGGGTTATGAACCACCCATTTAAAGTCTTCACCTGAACCTTCTGCTTGTTGAAGAAGAATGGTGGATGCACTTTCAAGCACATTTGTATTTACCCTTCTAAAAAATTTTCCATTGATGCATGTAAGACATCCCTTTTAACTTTTGTCTCCAGCCACCCATTCACTATGCTATCAAATACATAGTTTTTCAGTTTCAAGTAATTTCAACCTTCTGGATTATTTTCCTATAGCACAGTGGGGGAAATTCTTAAAATGTTTCCCTCTTTGACCTTTGACTTTTCTGTGTGATTTGCATGTATCTTCTCCTCACAGATATTATATACATCACCCTGCAGGCAGGTGTTGAGAATAAGCAAACCTATCAGGTGGAGGTTGTTAACTCAACATAATGCCAGTAAAAGTCTGTGTAAAAGTCTTTGCACTAATCCACAGTCAAATAAATAGACTGAAGCTCAAGTAGAACTGCTCCTCAGGCCTTTAGAGTCTAAGGGAAGCGTTTTGAAAGGCTAGTTTACCAAATTAACTTCAGAAAGTAAACAGCACGAGTCTCCAAGATTTCTTTGGTATTACTTTAAAAAATACCTCCATATTTTTTTTTTTGTTATATTGATATTTTATAATGTTTCAAATAATCCATGTTGGATGTTTTTTTTTTTATGACTATATAGTTGTAAACTGCAGAACAGAAGGCAGCAACAGACGTTGTGGAGGTCAGGGTGACGTCCTATCTGGTTCCATGGGTGTGTTCTTCCACTGGACAGATATGGCATTCAAGAAATTAAGCAAAGAAGAAAGGTACAGTTGACTTTCTTTTAGTCTGCAACGAAGTACTGAAAGCCAATTACCTCTTTTCACCCTAACATCAGTATGCAAATTCTTCCTACCGTTCTTTATTCATTTCCTAAGGAGCTGACAAGGAGAATTTGTTTACCAATCAAAAGCTTGTTTAGTTAGTGATCATTTGCTTTATTCTCGTGACCTTAATGTGTAATTCAGGGGTGATATTGTATGGAGAAATTAGGTACTGGTCACTCTCAGGAGTCAAAGGTATAAGATAGTAGCTTTCCTAGATAAGTTTTCCCGAGGAATGCTTATCATTGAGAATGTTGTCAGAAAGTGTGACTAGTTTTTTTTCTGTGGAAAACCCGTTGTTCAAGAATTGTCGTGCCAGTTTTTTAAGGGGATCACTGTTAGTATCTGAGCGACTGCATACCTACCCCTCCCCAACAACAGTCAACTGATAACAATATAGGGTTAATGTTAGGCTATGGGAGGGGCTGGTTATATACGGACGTTGATCCGTACGCTCATAGCAAGTGACCATCATGACAAAACGATGACATTGGTAAATGGTAAGTTTCCGGTAGTTTAGACTAATGGCAAAGCAGGAACTTACATACATACACACTTTATTTATTTCCGAAGCAGACTATGCATACACTTAAAAGGAAAGGGAAAAAGATGCTGTTAGAAAATGAGGTTAAGAGGTTATCCCTATGTGAAAACTCCCTAAAGAAAAAGTCTAAATGAAATTAAAATACTTAGGTACAATTAAATATTTAGGTACAATTTAAGCTGAGATTTAAAATGCTGAAGATTATCAGCTTCCACTATGTTTCTTGGTAATTCATTCCGTAATTTAACAATCCTAATGGAATGAATTACCAAGAAACATAGTGGAAGCTGATAATCTTCAGCATTCTAAATCTCAGCTTAAATTGTACCTAAATATTTAATTGTAACTACGTATTTCTTTTTCCTTTCTACTCTTAGAGCATGTTCGTATGGTCGATCTCTAGTAGCAGCCTATGGGGCCTGTGCACTAACAAGAACCTGCAACAGACTGGCGTTTGCTAAGTACCGGCGGAACATGACCACAACAGACATGCTACCGGAAATTCACAATGCGTTTGAACTGTTATTTCCCGAGAAAAAGTCAGACGAACCAGTTCTAAGGCAAGAACACACCGTGTAGAGTACTCAAGTTCGATAAAGATAGTAATTTTTGCAGAATTACTTCCTAATTAAAGTCAAACAAACAAACAAACAAAGATAGACTACAACATAGTAACCTCCTCGACTTAGAAGAGGTTACTTTTGGAAAGAGTGTTTTACGATGAAGTGTCGTAGAACCACCGGGTTAATCGTGACAGCCAATCAGGGCGAAGAAAATATCACAAGGAACCAATCAGAATCGAAATCATGGACAAAAAAAACTGCGTGAATTAAAAGCGCGGCAAAACTGGGGTGCCAAGTCGCGATTGGACTTAGGTTTGCATCTAATTGGTAGAGAAAATGACGCGAGTTTTCTGAACCAATCATAAATTAAATGAAACTAAAACCAATCCTTGATTGATTAATTGATTGACTGTTAAGTTAAACCATCTGAAAGTAGCTTCAGCCCTTTCACTCCCATGAGGGACCAAAAATTTAATTTCTTCTGAAATTATCAATGCAATATCAATCAAACAGGTGATGATAGTAAAGTAAAAATCAACAAAGGGTTCACTATTTCATTCAAAACCAAATTCCTAAAAGTAGCATTGTGAGAAATGTGTCGCCAACCGTAAGGAGAATTAATACTGGCATCTTGGAGTCTAAGTGAAGGGGTTAAACTCAAGGTTTGTGATCAAGGAACTATGTATGAACCACGCGTGTTACGGGAGTCGCACTTTGTAATTAATCGTCGAACTTAACAATACCTGTCGTATGAAATTGTCGCTCTTTGTGATGCCCGTCGCACATTGCAATAAAAAAGCTGTCGCATTTTGTAATAACAGGCCATCGCACCTTGTAATAAAATATTAAGCTGTCGCAGTTTGTAACAAAACTTGTCACACAGGGAAATAAGTTTGTTATAGATAGTCGCACGGCAAGTAGAAAGGTTTCGCAAAGTGCGGTATTATAAAGTGCGACGATTTTTCACCACTAAGTGCGACAGAACACCCTTTGTCGTGCGAGTCTGATTTTCCACATTTCAGCCTCAAAGGACTTCACAGACCTATTTTTTCGCCAGAGATCGGGGTAAGTTGTTCGAATCTATTTAAGTTCTTACACCTTCCCTCCAAGGTGACTCTGCGAAAGGGGGCGCAATGAGTATTTTTCTTCGTAAGGTATCCAAGAACCGTCGTGAGGTAAGAGGCGTCATTTTACGAATAGGATATTTATGGGATATTCAGTCTTGTCGTTTGAGTCTCTTTTCTTGATGCTCAGAACCTGAAGCAAACCACGACAGCTTCGGCAGCAGAAGCGTGGCAAAGTGACCAATAATATTATGAGCCTAGCAATAGCTCTGTGTGCGATTCTTAAAACTTTGTACTTTTCCGCGCCGTCCACAGCAAAACAACGTGAAATCACCAAAACTTGTGTAATCTGAATATAAGAATCCCGACAGAAAATTATTTTCTTTCTAATTTGAAACTCAGCGCTGCTTAGACACGTTTAGCTGAAATTTAGATCTGGCGCCGTTAGAGACGGTTCACAACGTGTTGACACCCAGCCATGCGCGAAATTTTTAAGGGAAATTAAAAAAAATCCTGTTTAATCGACATTTTTCTTAGTTTTGCCGCCAAGACGGCAGCAAGGTTCTTAATGTTAACTTGCGGGCAGATGTCTTATTAAATTAATCGCAAACCCTTACTTATACAGCTCGTGACGCTTACAGTTAAAAGAAGAACGTGTACTTATTAGTGGAGGATATTACGCAAATTTGAACAGCTTCCATATCAGGACATGAGGGTATCATGACCTTTCCTTCCTCTCTCTTCCAATATCGGAAAGCACTCCTTCCTGTGAACCAAATATGTCTTTGTCTATGACAATAAAGAATTTCGTTTTCTCTCATACCGGTAAATGTTAGCGGATAAATTTAGCAACGACTGATAAGGTTTTTGTTTTTTCTTTCTAAGTAAGAAGAAAGTACAAATTGATCAGATGCGTTAGTGCAGTTTTACAGTGAATGTCTTTGTCTTCGGGAAGTGGTCAAAAGCGCGAGGTCAGTTGGTTCAATTAAGAATTATGATATGATCTCTTGCTTTAATACGTTATTATAACTTTTGGAATGCTTTGGATCGTGAGTTTTCTCTTATGAAAATTAAACTTATTAGGAGCAAAACGCATAACTTTAATCACAAGAAAAATAACAGTTATATGAAGTGTCTGAAAAAGGATTTCCGTTTCTATATGTTGGGGAGACACATACCCTCTTCAAAGTTACGATGACTGAGTTCAAGCGAGAAAGATAATTCATGTCTGAAAGGAGGACTAGAAGAAACCCCTCCCCCCCAGAGGAAATAATTCGTCATCGTGCTAACATTGGGAGCAAAAGTTCTCTTCTTTTCTTTATTTCTTATCTTATTATGCGTACGAAAGACCACGAATTTCCACTGAATCTCTGGCGGCGTACAACGCTGAGAAAGAGGGGCTGGCGAGAATGGTCTATCTATTCAGGGTATTCACGGGGAAATGGTCAAAAATCACTTACGGGCATCAACATCTTAATTAAATGATAAGATTTTTCAGAGCATGGGTGCTTCGTCAGATAGTAAGTGATGTAAAGAAAGTAGGCTATTTTTGGTCCCCAAGTGATGTTGCCAGAAAAGACAAAAAGTCCAAGTTTTTCAATATGTAGCTTCGAATGGAATTTTGTTGTACGTTTACTTCTGGCTTATTTTCGTTGTGAGGCCAAACACGATGATCAACCAGATCAAGCGATGATGTTCAAATGTGTATCTCAGTTAGAATCAGTTCCCCTGCTGTTTCAAAATGATTGCCAGCTGTTTTGAATTAAAAGCACTCTACATCAGTCCAGACCGCATACAGCTTTTAGAGATAAACAGTTCGCTTTTAGACAGTGAAGGTAAATTTATAACTAGCAAATGACCCGGAACCTGGGATTTTGCAAGTCATAACATTTTATCTGGCTCGCCAGAAGGGATTATATTAACAGAAACAAAATCTGTTTCAAGTGCGTCCTTTTGGAATTTATTTCTACACGTTCAGAAAGTCAAGCGTCGCATTGACTTTCTGAACGTCGCATTGACTTTATTCAGGTAGTTGAATAAAATAAATACGATAATAAATAAATAAAAAAAAAAAACCTCCCCCCTCCCAAGACGGGTTAGTAGTTGTACAGTCGCCTCGAAGTCTCCTCTGACAAAGAGAGTTACTGTGGAGGAGGTGCTCATGTAACATCGTTACACGCCGCTAAAGAGCTGTCAGTTCACCAGCCGTTTGTCGAAGCTATTAAACTTTGATAGTGTGGCCTTTCTTGACCTATGTAAGCCGCCGGTGATTAATTCACAATAGCAATAATTTACAACATTCTAACTCCTGACGCATGTTTTAATGAGTTTTTGCTTTATCGAGATTTAATTTGATTTCTGTTTCCCCAAAAAATACTAACCTCAAAAAAGAAAACATTTAGCCTCGACCACGCGCGTTCTGCTTGTCACAATCTGGCATTAAGGCGTGTGCCATAAAATGTCAACACTGTTAAGGTATTTTTCGCTGCTATTAGGTTATGATATTGAATTGATCTTGAATGCGCGTTCGTATTGGACGTTTCAGAGTGGAAGTGTTTCAAAAATAGCGTTGAAATCGAAACCGCAGGATGTCAGAACTTTCGATTCCCGTCAGCTAGACGCGACCACGAATATATCCGATCCATTTCAACTGTTTGGTATGTAATTAGCCATTTCACTTTGTGGAGAATTTGTTTACAACTCCGTTCACACGCTTCCGTTGTATGACATTTATCGTCTGTGTTAATTGTATTAAAATTCCCCCAGGGAATTGTTCGATGATTGACTGGTCAACACCTCATCAACGACGACGGCGAAAGGAAGAAGGTACTTTACATGAGTAATAGCTCCTGTTTTAATGCGGTAGGCAGTAGAGGAAACGGTCAGTTTACTGACAGAAATGGTCGCGCGTTTGACAAGACGAAAATAACGGGATTGAAGTCAAGTCAGAGGAAAACAATAACAGGGGGCGTTCGTTTAAAGATGTTAAGTGGTTGAAGTATACACAAGCGTTGGGCGCCGGTTCGTTTGCCATCACGATTTCTTCTCACGCCTTATTACGCTCCTCAGGCTAGGTCCTTTGTTCACACGGCCACATACTTCAAATATTTACCTGGCCGCACGTATGAAATAGAATTTTCCTACATCGGCGTCATCATAAATAGCGACGTCTTCGCGATTTTGGTTTACTTCACTGGAAGCGTCATGGGGAGAGTGCAACATTTGTGGTTAGTAATCTTATTTCCACTGCTAGCGTTCTGCGCAGCTACCGACGGAATGAAATTTCAAGTTTTTGAAGAACAGGACCCAGGAACTTTCGTGGGAGACATGTCTGCGAATCACTTGGTCAGAACATTATCCGATAATGAAAACTTGAAAGGAGCGCTTCGATTCCAGTTCCAGGGATCTCTACAAACGTCTTTTAAAATCAATGAAACCACAGGAATCATTCGCACTGCTGCTAAGTTAGACCGCGAAAACTTGTCTCTTGAGAATAACGATGATACATTTCAGATTCAAGTGAAGGTTTCGAAAGGAGTTGTTACGGTACCTTTACCGATAGAAATTAAAGTATTAGACATCAACGACCACAGTCCTATTTTTGCTGACAAGATTGAGAATTTTTCGGTTTCCGAGTCTGCTCCATTGGATGCCGAATTTCCTGTAACAGTGGCAGAGGATACTGACATTGGCAACTATTCTGTTCAAAGTTACGAGATTGTGGAGAGAAATGACAGTGGAACTTTCGACTTGATACTCTCGAGGCCGACTTCAGAGATTACTAAGTTGAAACTCGTGCTTTCAAAAAGGCTTGACCGAGAAATTAATGAAAGCTTTTTCTTGGAGATCGAGGCAAGAGATGGAGGAAGCCCGCGCAAAGTTGGTCGCAAAGGATTAAGAATTACAGTCTTGGATTCGAACGATCACATCCCAAAGTTTAGCAAAGATCTTTATGTTGGAGAAGTGAGAGAGAATTCTCCGGCAGGAACGTTCGTGTTGAACGTCACAGCATCAGATAAAGACATCGGTACGAACGGCGAGATTTCCTATTCTCTTAATTCCCGACCTCAGTATAAAGACTTGTTCAGTTTAGATGCACGAACTGGCGAGTTACGGACTAAAGCTATTTTGGATTATGAGCGCTTTAAGGATTACCAATTGGAAGTGACAGCAAGAGACAGGGGGCCTGATTCAATTCCAACAACTTCTTACGTCAACGTGAAGGTTAGTGCATGTGCATTTATTTGAATTAAATTTTCCCTTGAAGGAGCACCCGATCATGAAAGTCAACGGTATTTCATGCCATCGATAATGTCCTGATAAAGTTAATGTGTTTTTATCAGCGTGGAGACAAATGGCTGCTTTTAAATTTATTGTGTATCATTATGGTAGTTTAAAGAACAGTTTGTCCTCTTTTCATCGCTATTGTTCACGTAGTTTGACTTCTTGGGCTTGGTTAGTTTATAATGAAATTTACACTTAAGCTCAACACCGATTGACAAGCAAACCAAATAGCTGATGAAAGCTAAGAATGACGCGCGGAAAGTGCTTTCAGCGTTCTTAAAACCGCAGAACTCGAAGGAAACATTTATTGCTTGGCTTCAATTAAATACGGATTTTCTCAATGTATTTCTGTTCTAATTTTTAATACACTACACGGCTTTGAGAGCCGAAATTAATTACGAACTCTTGTTAAAACTGCGAAGCAACTTAACCGAGACAAACAATGAGTTCTATAGTTTTCAGAAACCTGCTCAAAGGAAAGCGTGCCGCCTTCGCGTGAATTGTAGCACTTCGCTCTATTAACTTTTCGCTGCAATACGGCAAAGATTATTGCTTTTTCAAATTACATCATATTAAATTTTCAATTCTGTTATCGTTCGCAGACAACTTTAAATATTTTAAGTAATATTCGAATTGAAGTCTTGAATTTTTGTATTGCTTTTATCGAGTGTGATTGTTCGATCGCTTTGTTAGACTTTTTTAACACCCTCGTGGTTGGTGAGTATTCAATTTCCAAAAGCTTTGATTCAGGAGAAAAATAATTAGTGTTGTTTTTCAGTGATGGAGATAAACATCAGTTGCTGATGAACTCTTATCGTGTAAGTCCTTATTATTCCCCGCTGTGAATTCAATGATGTGAACCTATTAGACACAATACAGTTTTGTGCCCACCAAGTCGAGCCATGTCACGTCGATTAAGGACTAATTCTCTGACATAGCGTATCTTCCGACTTAAATGCACAAAAGGTTAAAGAAATCGGCAATCGCCTTATCTCTGTGTCAATTCCGTAGAAAGACTCGTATTGTGATGCATCGCGGTTTTGGAATGGAAATTGTCGTGGCTGCTTCATACCCATTTCCATTTTCACAGAGGGCCACTATCATTTCTTTTGTGTTTAGCACTATTGTTTCCAATGGCTTTACCACTGCGTCCTAATCCTAAGTGACAGCTTCCTCAGGATTTGCATATGTTCTAAAAAGATCTATTCTGTTAGTTGTGTTTTTATTTGCAAATCATTTAAAATAAAGTAAATATTCCCAACCGGGGAACTCATGTCTTTGTACAATATTTGCAAGGCGTTTTCCTGTACTAAAAGCCTCTAAATTTGCAACCATTTCGGTATCTTAAAAGGGTAAGCTTCACTGTGTACTCGTTATTGTACTTTTCAGATTTGATCGTGGACAGGAGCTGCCACGTTATCTTTTGAATTTTGATCAATCTTTTCTCGTGTGAGGTCCTCCACGCATGCATTCCAGCTAGGATTTAATAGCGAGCGGTTGGGCCGAAAGCGCAAAACATCCGCGCCAACTTGAAATGGATTAAGTAAATTTTACCGGTATATTCAAATTTGCTAGATTGCAATTAAAAACTAGCGTGCTTTTCCGGAAATCAAGGATGTTTCTTAATCCTCTTGTTTCGTGAGGGTATGTAGTCTGTAGACAACAGTGGATCAAGACCCTTGAAATGTTGACAACACAAAAATGCTTGTTTACATTGTGGGGGAAAAGTGGAGTAACTTTCAAGGACTTCAGCGTTGTTCGGCGTTGTCTCAGATGAAGTATTTGTTCTGTTGCTTTGAGAAAATGTCAGCTGTTAATGTCAAAAACTGTGTTCCTTGTGGGGTGTCTTTTTGTCTAGAACTTGTCAAACTCCAAACTGAAAAAAGACATGAAAGAAAATGAGACACCGCGCTCCTTTTACACGCACGCACTTTTTTTTTTCAATGGAATTTTCGGTTTTCATTTCAACTCAATATCCATCCAGAAACTTGAGATGTTATTTTTCAGATATCGATATATTTATATTTTTCATAAACACGTGCTGATCTGTAGATGTATTTAATCCAAGTTGATTTCATTCACCTCCTAACGTTTAAAATTCTAGAACATAGACTATTTATTTACGAAGTATCAGTAATTTCTATTTTTACCATTAAGAATGCACTGGAGAAAGGGTGGGGGACTCTAGACGTGTTTGTTTGTAGTGGATTGATCGTCGATGCACTTTCAAAGGAATGAAATGAATATATTGCAGATGAACGAAACTTACAATCTGCATCCAAGCGGAAGTGAAGTCAAATTTTTGCAACGAGATAATGTCAGGCGTTGGATGGAAGTCCTGTATCCGTCGTGTGTTGCAAGAGAAAATGAAAACGTCCTTATCATTTCATGAGTCCTCGCTATCTTAAGACCAGCCCTTTTTTTTTTCATTGTCGTGTGCGCAAAGCTTGAAAATGTTTATATTTCACTTTGACAATATTTCACCAGCTTTCCGACATTGTTGTCTTGAAGTAGATGTTGCACGTACAAAACAAAACAAAACAAAACAAATTCATTTTTAGAGCTGATTTCAATAACGCCTCAAGTTATGAAAAATTATTTAAGTTAGCGACTAAGTCGCGACCAATTATGTCTTCTTGAAATGTGCTTTATGTAAAAATGGGGACATCATAAAAAGGGAGCTTCACCAAAGAAAGTTGTGAAGGGAATTTGGGATGTTTTTGGTTACACAAATCTTTGGTTACAATGGTACGTGTTCTAGTTGCATATAGATAACTTTTTCAGTAGCATTCGTTTCCGATTCTTTCTTTCACGCCTTCACAATTGGTTTTACCTTAGTGACGCAGCTTTCCCTCAGGCAAGAAACGATCAATAAAATCATGATAGTAGCAAGCTGCGATTTTGGATATACGTACTCAAAATACTGTATTTATGTTTTAGGTCTCTGAGTCGATAAACTACACAGAGTTTTGCCTAGCCTGTTTTCAAAAGGTTACGGTTTCTTTACAGCCTTGAGCAAATTGAAGCGAACGTCGAACTAATGCACTGTTTTCTAAATAATTACCCTTCCCAAAGTAAGAATATTCTAACCTTTGATTTTTTTGTTAAACGAACAATGCTTTGTGATGTCACTCAACCGCTCGGACCCCAATTGATATTCTGGAGCATTCATCCGAAAAACAGTCCAAATTCGTTCGTGTGTATTGGTTTAGCGGGACCACTGTCTGAGTTGTTTAGAGTTTGTATCATGTATATTTAGAATTGACTGCATTGAAAACAGAGCAGGTCGCTAAGTTTGTATAAACAGGTTTAGACGTAACCATGGAAAGGAAAGATCATCATAAAAAAATGCGCAGCGAATTCCAGAGCTGTGCTGAAATTAATGGCTTTGTTCGCGAAATTGCACGTCCAAGTTTTTCTTTTGAGATCTCTTTCCATTTTCTCGGTTTGAAATAAATACGCTTTACTCCAAGCCGGACAAAGTAAGATCAGCGAGGAGTTTTCAAAATGCCCTTGTACACGTGAAGTACACGCACGCAAAGAAACACAGCCGTTCTTCGTGTCAGTCACGCCTCGCGCGCGACAATGATCGGTTTTTTCTTTTTTTTGCCTTTCTTTTATTTTCGAGAACGTTGTTTCTTTGCAATCTACCCGCTCCATTAGGAAATTTTGATATTGCGTCCAGCGTCGTTTTAATGTTTTTGATCAAAACTAATTCACGTTGGAAAGGGATCGGATTAAGTGTGGATTTCATTTCATAAGCCTTTACTCAGGAGGATTCAATCATAATCTTTGTCTTCCTGCTCTATTTTTCCCTCCTATTTTTGCATCATCATTTTCCGTCCTAACTAAGCGTTGTTTACTCTGCTCGGCTTTTCGTGGAAATCGGATTGGAGTTCTTAACTTGCTGGAAATGTCCCCCGGCTAGGTGGTTCTTGGAAATATTGAATTGAAATGTAAGAAAAAATCGCCGTTTGATCTGTTTGCACATGGATTTCCTTCGTTTTCAATATCTTATCTGTAGAGACACGAGGTAAAAAAAAAAGGAAAAAAAAGCGCGTTAAGTCTCGGCTTAGTAGAAAAATTCAACTGAGTTCATTGACGAAAGATCAAGTTATCACATCGCATTCTAACCAAGGGATAAGCTTGTTTCAACGGAGAATTGAATAAAAATGGTTTTGCGTAATATCGTCTTGTAATCCATATCTGGAAGTATTTGTGTGATCCTGTATTAGTTATACCAATAACAGCCCAAATTTGGATAGGTTATATGCTTGATTCCAATGTAAATCCTCGAAGTGTCTGAGACGTTAAGCTTTCAATATCAAGTTTACCTCCAAGAAATACAAAGACCGTAAACCCCGGCTCTGTAACAAAGAGCTCTCTTCGTTTCAACAAACATTTTGAACAATTTTTTAACTTACATTTTAGGTCCTAGACGAAAATGACAACGCTCCAGAAATCTCCGTCACCCTCTTCCCAGATGAATTCGACGAACAGGAAAAGATTCCCGAAGATATTGCCCTTAAGACTTCCATTGCTCAGGTAACAGTGCGTGACAAAGACAGCGGGAGAAATGGCCGCGTGACAGTCACCCTTCAACACCACAAGGACGACTTGGGCCTGCGGGAAATGTTCGCCGGGCTTTACATCCTGGAAATTCGACACCCGCTGAGTCTGGACCGCCATGATCAGTACAAGATCAAGATCGTGGCCGAAGATCAAGGTTCACCAATTTCACAAAAGAGTAGTTATGTGCTCGTTGTCAAAGTGGCAGACAGTAACAGAAATGCTCCCAGGTTCGATAAAAACGTATACAACGTTGGCGTGAACGATGACGTCAAGCCAGGGACCTTCATCACCACATTGACAGCGACCGACGAGGATGATGGGAATAATAGTGAGTTAACCTACAGCCTGGAGGACGTGTACATTGGTGAACACAACAGCAGCGTCGAAGAGGTGACAAAATGGTTTGCTATTGATTCCAAAAATGGACAAGTGCAAGTGCTTAGAAAGTTGTGGTGTGCTTTCACTCCCATTTTCCAGTTAAACATTGACGTTCGGGATAACGGTCGTGTACCCTTCCATGATAAAACTGCCCTTAAAATTTCCGTCCAGTGTTCAAAAAACATGTACAACTTCAGTGTAACAGAGAATGAACCCGAAGGAGTTGAAGTTGGAAGAGTTGCACTTGAGCCCATTGAAAGCAACAGGCCTCTTGGTATAACACTACTCTCGCATACTACTGAATTTGCTATAGATGAAAACAAGGGCATTTTAACGACAAAAACAACGCTCGATCGTGAGAGGAAGAGCTTTTATTCCTTAATTGCTGTTATAACTGATGGAAGAGTCGCCATGAATGTCACCCTCTTTGTTGAGGTGGAAGATGTCAAAGACAATGCTCCCATTTTTGTTGGTTTGGAAAACACGCATAATCTAACGTTGTCCGGTGCACTTTTCATTGGGGCAACCGTCCAGAGGCTTCGAGCGACCGACAAAGATTCTGGAACGAACGGTCTTGTAAAATACCTAATCGTAAGTGGCAATAATGATCTAGTATTCCTTTTGAACATGCGCACGGGAAGGATCACGCTTAACAGGGAGCCCAGTAGGAAATTGTACATTTTAACCATTAGAGCAGCAGATTCGGGAGACGTTGAGAACGAAGCTTACCTGCGGTTGATAATTTCGGTCAGATACATAACTCCCGCACCGCCACCGTCTGGAGACGGATCTACCGACGGGAATGGTGAGGTGGAATTGCGCACCGAAAGGGGAGGGTTCTTTTCGGATACAAAGATGATCATCATTGTCGGGGCCTGTGCTGGTTTTCTGATCCTATCCATTCTTCTTGTTGCGGTTTTCATCATGAAGTTCAGGCGCAAGGATAAAAAGGAAGATGATAAGCGTGGTAGCTACCACGAACCGGATATAAGTCGGGAAGATGCCCTAAAAGCTTCCAAGAAAATGTTCCAACAAGCGACTACGAATCCTCGTCAAGCCGCCGAAGCGTACATGCTCGCATCACGAAAGCAACCGATCAACGTATCACCAATCCCGATCAAGAAGATGCACTCAACAATGACATATCAAGCTCCACCGGGGACGGGTTCCCCTACGAGAAGCTCACGGCAAGACATGTACTACCCGTTTGTTCAGGGTGTAGTCGAGTGTCACAGCAGCGAGGATGAAATAGACAGTGGGCGTGGTGGGAGCTCTCATGAGTCTACCCCTTATTACCCTCATAGTCCCCCATCCAAGAAAAGAGAAGACGATTTTCGGCCACCTCATCGTCATTATTATCACAATCCTCATCGGGCCCGCAGCCCTAATATGCCACCTCCCCCTCCACCATACGAAGAAGTTCAAACGAAAAGAGCCTACGTGAGCGTTTCTGGTGTCACGCATTCCACAACAGAGCTGTAACGTTGCGGAAGGTATTGACACGAACTGAACTATGCCCTTCAGTGAAGGGTATATCACAGAATCGTTCGTCGTGCATTTTAGTCATCTTTCGACACTTCGCATGGTGTCTTTAACACTGTCCTTGAGGGTAAGGAAGGGGGGGTAGTTTAATTGAATCAGGAGTAGATGCTACGTCGAGATTCCCCGTGTTTACAAGTTAGGTACCTTTTAGCGCTTCTTTTAGGCCTTCGTCGACCAGGCATTTGCCTTCGAAGGGCCAGGCGCGACAGAGCTGAATAACGTATACGCATGCGCTAGATTTTGCCGCCGAAACACGGATTTTGAGTCGTTCGCATGGTTGATTTCCTATTCTGTTGCTTCGAGGCGTCGTTTTCCTTGCCGCTTTTCTTTTACAGAACAACCTCCAAAAACTTGGTACACCCCCTAAGAATTTTAAAAAATTAATTTTCTCCTTAAATCCTTCCGATATAGGAAAGTGCCTTTGACGAAAACAGAGTTCCTCGGTTTTAAAAGTCACCCTTATTATTTTCCGCTAATTTCGCTAAGTTTTAGACCTAGGACTTTTGAGCCCGCGTTTTTGACCGCATACCCTCTGACGTAGCATTTCATTATTCAGCTCTGTCGCCAGGCGCCTTATCAATTCAGTTACCGCAGCAATTCTTTACCTTCATAGGACTAGTCATTTAAAAGTCCTTTCGTTTAGAAATTCGTTCACTTTTCCCTCATCATTGACACATTGTGTAGCGTCGGTATCCTTCTTTTTACTAAGGACAGTCACGAAGATTGTGGACCACTCGAAACTCGCTTAAAGATCTATATATACACGTTAATATTCATGATCAAACAATTTAAATTAATGAAAATGAGGAATTGGCTCGCCTGTTACCCGATACATTTTGTACAATGATAGAATATTTATAGAGAACAAGCCAGTTCTGCATCTTTTTAACAAAAATTACTCGTTGCGTTATTTCAAAATGCTAGATCGTCATAAATTGTAAAGGTTTAATAAGACTTTTAATATTTATAAGCTACATACAATACTGTTCAAATTGTGTTTATCTTGTACGCTGATCAGTAAGGGAGGCGTAAAGAGGTTAATTTTTATATAGCATGAGTATGATTCGAATATTATAGACTGAATCGTTTTTCTTAATATGAAAGGAAAGTTGATTTTTTTTACAAATCGAGGTAGTAATCAATTGAATACAATAAAAGAATCAAAGTCTCAAGAAAGACGAACTCGAAAATGACGAAAGAGTTGTTTTATGTCTATTTTTTTTCCCTGTTTTCGTTTTGGTTTTCGTTTGTTTTAATTTGTTTTCGTTGTGACCGTGAAAGCCGCCAGAACCTTAGCACGGACAGAAAGTGGACAAAAGAGAGAGAACTTCGAGAACGTGACCAAACCCAAATTAGGCCCCCTTAGTTGACAAGGAATGGTAATAGGGAAGAGAAATTGAATCCAGGAAAGGATCCAGGAACGAAGGATGCCTAGGCGGGAGTAGATAGGAAGTCAAGCTCACTTTGGTCAATTTTTACCGACCCAGAGCAGTCTAAGACCGGAAATTATTTAATTGTAAGTAGAAGTTAAGATGCTAGTTGCAACTGTTCTTGTTTATTCCTTTTTCTGTAGTTACTACCACATTGTCTCGACCACAGTTACTTTGCTACACTATAATCCTATTTCAACCAATTAATTGGAGGGCTATATACAAGGGCTATCGTCAATTACAGGAAGATTCGTTACAATGTCCTCCAATAGCAAAGCGAGTCGTCTTCCTTTAGTTTTCTGGCTTTCCCTCGTATAACTGGGCCATTCGTTAAATTATTTGAGGGAGGTAGAAAAATGGATGTGTACATATTCTCTGAGTTTGAACCTGATTTCTGGCGGTACAAAACACTTCGCCTCTGAGAACCGTTACATCTGATGACAGCGCGAGCTCTCATTAACAATCCATTGAAAGTCAATAATCAGATGTCCTAACGTAACGTATTTATTGAAGAGTTTTGCTTCGGTCCCATCTGGGTTGGAGTGCAGTCATGGGGGGAGCCAGAGAAGGACTCGCGCTCTCGGGTACATCAGCGAAGGGTTGCTGCTGTTCTTCCGTCAGAGGAGGTTGTAAAAAGTTATTTTGATCAGTGGGAGGAGGGTTATCATTTTGAAAAGCCAGCGGCTGGTTCTCGTTTTGAAAAGCATTCATAAGAGAGGCGTCACTCAATCCCGTTTCCGCGTTCGGTTGAGTTCCGGCTAAACCAGTTTGTGGGCTTGCTTCATTGCCGAGCTCGTCATTTTGAAATGCAGCCATTGGTGGCATGCCACGTGACAAAGATGCCATTGGCTGCGGGTAATAAGGTGCCTCTGGCTGCTGTTGGTATGGCGACGGTTGCTGGAACATGGGCGGGGCATAACTTGGCTGCACAGGATTTGTTGCTACTGCAGGAGGGGCAGGTGGGGGTGCTAGTGGTTCAAATGAAAATAATTCTGTAGTTTAGTTTCGAAATCAGGCAAGTTGTACCTAGTTTGCATCTTGTTTCTCGGCATTACACAGTACAGATACTGAATTTACCCTCTCATTATTTGCCGAATTATCCTCCTGAAAGTGAATTTTGGTGGGATTGATTCAGAACAATTAAATTTGGAAATTTTTGCCAAGGCTTTTCCCTTGCTATCGATTGCAAGTAGAAACTGGATGTTCTATATAAAGACGCAGGTTTTGAGATCTTCAGTGGCAGTTACCATGAACAGCTTTCTTGAAAAGAGAAAAGGAGAAATGGATTGAGAAGAAGTATCAGACAAGAATACGTCTATATAAAAGCCACACGTGTGTGGAAAAGACAGAGCTCTGTTCCCGGCGAGTGTCTGCTCTTTCTATAGTAGGTTTGTTGATTTATACGTAATAAGAAAAAAATTAAACTCACCTGCAGGAGCGGCAGCTACTTCCATGAAATCCGCGACAGTGCAAAAAAAAACAAACAAAAAGACAAAACAAAAGAAATAAACACATTAAAGATGATGCGTACGGGATCAATAGATTCAGTCACGAGAGAGACGAGAAATAAACCGGTTCCTTGAGGTCGTTTCTTTTTATACTCTCCTAAGTATAAAGTGGGAGGAAGGAGAAATATGTCTCAGTCTCCTCTAAGAATATATTTCAACAAAAACGAAAACTGAAACTTCCAAAGGGATTAAGAGTACTAAAGGTTTTCACATGGAGATGTACATCCCAATTCTATGAAAGATGAGGAGTTTCCAACAAAAACCTATCAATGATTTGTACTTAAATCTACTTTTCTTAAACATCGTATTAAATACAACACTGCTGCATCATATCTGGCTCAGCGATTGCAAGAGAAGAGTTTTCCGGCTTTTTCCTCAGTATCTGTGAAGTAAGGCTTAACCTTCTAACGGCGTGGATATCTACTGACTACGACTACAAATCTATTTTCTTCTATTTCATAGCACTTCTGTCCCACCACTTGACTTTCCCTTCCTTCCCTTTAGATCATCTAAAATACAAAATTTTTAAAGTGAATCATTATTTTGCTCACCCGACGGATCTTTGATACATGTTGGTCTATTGACAGCAATGGCGTCCTTACATTTGGGCATCACGCATGGAACATACTGAACCTTGCAAGTTTGGCCAACTGGACACTGGAATTTCTGACCAAGAAAAATAAGCAAAATATACGCCGCAACATTTAGAAAATATATTACACAGCTGAACGAGCACGAAATTGTTTTGGAGAAAATAAATTGTGTGATGAAATTTCAAAGAAGATATTAAAATATCTCTAAAAAAGACTTCTGTGTGTTTTCATGAGGGCAGTTTTCTTGACACTGCATTCTATAACTGGTCATGGTCATGGACCCAACGTCCGCGTCATGCGCTTTTACGTAGCAACGTTTCTTCCTCTCTCCTAGACCACCTCAGGATGTGGAAATAAAATTGGCTTCCTCTGTTTTCTTAATTGTTTCATTTCAAGTTTTTGCAGCATCTATAGCTGAGTCGTTAAGCTGACTGAAAGCTATAATTGCTTTGTCTTTATTGACTAAAGAAACGTATGACATTGCTGTAAGTTGTTAACCACCTTTAATGAAAACAGTTGATCCATATAACTTACCTTGCATGGGTCAGGATCTCTCACTGAGGAAAAAAAAAAGTGGAAAATTCAATCAAGAGAGGTAAAGATTAAGGAGATTCACAGGGAAAAGTGCTTCCCACTGAAGGAGATACGTGGAGGAGCTTTAGTATTATTTTTGCCCCTTTAAATGCGAGCTACGTTAGCTTTGTCGGAAACGGAACACAAGAAAGACAAAAATAACTCGTCAGGGGTCGAAGGAGGATTGCTAAGGATAGATAAAATCAAACGGACTGGTGATGACGAAGTCTAAACAATTATAGTTAATTTTGCACAATGCAAATGCGATGCTGTAGCCCTTCTGTTCGCTGACCTTCTATTTTCCCTCAGATCATGGTTCGCAGCAGAGGCGAAATAGAAGCCACGGGGATTCATGAAAAGGGATGGGGAAGTGAAAGGGAAAATATTTTCCTTCCCGCTTCTTCACTGTTCTCACGCTCTCACGTCCTGCTTCCTCTTGAAACCACATAAAAAGGCTGTGGATTAGCCTGTGTGGCTGGCAGTTTTGTGTACCATTTACAGTTTTTTTTTTTGCGCCAAGCGATGGACGGCAAGGCCGTTAGCGAGAACTCAATTACGTCCCAAGTCTCTCGCGGCTTCGATCCTTGCTCATCGCCATGTTGCCCTCTAAACCACCAGATACACAATACGCAGACTAGTGGTAGGTATACTTCGACATAGCTATTTTAGTTATCGCTGTATTCAGATTAGCGAGACTTACTTGTAGGGGTACAGACCATGCCACCGCAATAGTTCCTACAGCACTTGCGGTCTGCATCACAGTGACTGTCTTCTGAACATTCAGACTCTGTACATTTAGGATTAGCGTCGTCTGGCAGCACATAGGCGACTCCCCAAAAATTCAACCGAGGATCCTTTATCTTAAAGTTATTCTCCGGTTTTGCGCACAAACCAGTACGCGATAGATATCCTAGGAAAAAAGGCAGTTAAGGTGAACATAACCGCAAGTTCCTCACTATATATTGGCACTTTCACATTAACATTTCGTAGGGCTAGCCTGATAGTTTTCAAATACCTAACAACATTCCTGATTCAGCACAGACACTGCGAGAGTAGGGTGTCTTTCACAATGACTCGATCTGGGATCTAACCCTAACCCCGACTTATCGATCACTGAATTCCCACACGGAGTGAATCCTGGGACAATGTCTACCTAATATGGTAATCGCACCCTTTCTCGTTAGATTTGTTGTGGTAGTGTGGTTTTCATTTTATTTTTCTATATTAGTCAACGAAAAACTTCTATCTTAACTTACCTCTTTTATTTCTCTTAATTGACCCTGTGTGCAAATAAAAGTAATAATATAAAATTATTTCATGAGTGATTGTATTCAAGGGGAGATGGGGGGGGATCCAAGCTTTGATTCAGGAAAACACAATGAACGAAAGCATGACCTGCGTGACAGAGTATAACATATCCAGCCAAAAGTAAAACTAAAAATGCCCTCATACTTCAACTCATCCAAGGGTTGAACTCCTGCAGTGAATGAATTAAGGAAAGATCAAAAATAAAGCACAAATAGCAATGCTAAGGTTATCAAAGAAAGAGAGAGATGGAACCAACGTTTATGCAAACGACAAAGAAAGGCTTTCTGCCTTTCGGGCCATTAATGTAACATAACTTAGAATTATTGTCTGTTTTTTTCGTGCGGAGAAATTCGTCTTCTTTTCCAATAGATCGATTCAAAAATTGAAGGGTAGACTGTATAAGCAGTGTTCGAAGAAAACGTGGTTCTCCACCTTTTAACGTTTAGACATGCGAAATAATAATATACGTTAATTGAAGCTCCCCCTTAGGGGCTTTTCAGCCACAATGTAGACTAACTAGGAGCTTAAAAATCCCCACTGACAGGAAGCAGACAAGTGGGCTATTTACAGAGCGCAGCCGAGGAGTTGAACGATCGATCTATTGGCAACGAGAACAAATCCAGTGAGTGGCAGGGTGGAGGACTTGAACCCAGGACACCGGATTACAAGTCCAGCACCCTAACCACTCGGCCACACCGCCTCCTACAAAAAAATCTATGTTCTCTCCATAATTGAATAAACGTGAATCGCAGAGGAGTTTTCATATAGACAGGCTAAGCCGGGTTCAAAATCTCTTACCATATAAAAAGTCACACGTAGATAAACCCAGATTATTTCAATTCCAATTAAACTTTTTTCTCGGAAAATTATTGATACTATACTATGAAATTAAACCAGATTCTAATTTCATCTACATCCGCCCCAGACACCATAATGCAATGTAAATAGAACGAAATAAGTTTATAGAAAACGCGAGCAGCAAAACATATCTGTGATTTTGCCTTCTCAAAATTTTCCTGTAGACCTCAGTTTTTGCAATATAAACGTATATCTTATATCTCTCTTTACGGTAGTGAAGAAGGTATGTTTCCATAAGGAGTGAGAGAGCGCCGTGGATCACGGTACAAGTGAGCGAAGCGGATAGTTTCTTTTTCTAAGATCTAATAATAATATAATAGTAAAATCTAATAATATTCTAATAATAAAATCTAATAATGCTAATAATTAATAAAAGACGCGCTTATTTAGCCAAGGCTGGGTGCTGGCTTTGCCTAGTCACTGATGCTTCGATCACATGAATCACATGCTTGGCCGTCATAACCGTTACATACAGCTTTTTAATTCCATGTTCTAACACCGTTTCGAGGGAAATAAAGGGGGAAATAAAGGGGAAAATCCACGCGAAGGATAATTTACGACAAATCTGCCCAATAACGGCTTTTAATTCCTCCTTTACGCTTAAAACTGTTAAATTCGGTTTTAAAGATAAGATACCGCTTTAGCAGTGCACTTACACTTTTTATCTCATTTTATATTGCAATTTAGAACATAGCTAGCAGAGTCGCGCAATCAAATTCATTATACGTAAGCGTGCTCAAAAT